AAAAAAAAAAAAAGAAAAAAAGAACAAAAAAAGAACAGATATCATCGAAACATTCCCATTTCAGGAACACGACAGAAAGAAATCCATGAAAATATCAACTTCAGAACAGCTAAAGAAAAGCTGCACATCTAACCCTGATGAACGTGGGGGTCTTTTAGGTTGCAGACACAGACAGCCTGCCCATAGGCTTAAGGGCCAAACAAATCATCTTCCACTTCACAGGCAGGAACGTAAGGAATGTATCTGGCTTTTCAAACTACTACTACAGATCCACACAGGGACATAGAAATAGTTCAGAGGTTTTTTCTACTTACTCCAGAGCATCTACAGCATCTTCCTCCTCTGAGGACAAGCCAGTTTCCTCCAAATCTTTAGCCATCCCAACTGGCATTTCCTTTGGGAGTTTTCATATAGCCCAGTCCTAGCTGCAAGAGCAGTTACCTGCAATAAGGATTAAAAGCAGGAATGAACAGCTGAGCAGGCCAGCGAGAGGTATCAGGTAACTACCACCTCCTGCCAGTACGTATTTCTCAGAATACTACCAACAAGTCTGTTAAACATCTGTGATCTGTTAAACATCACCTCCGAGCCACGAGAGTGCAGAAAGCAGCATCCCCTTCCAGCAGAGAATTCCGCACCTGCCCGTGAGAACCACTCGGGCGCTTACCGGTAACGCGCGTCCCTGCCCCGCCCTGCCTCGCCTCGGGCCGCAGACCCACGCCAGGCCGGCCCAGCCCAACGGGAAACGCCCGCCAAGACCGCCCCGCCGCCCGGGGACAGCCGGACACCGTAACGCCTGCACCGGCGCAGGAGCGGCCCTCCGGCCCGGAGGGACGGCTGCGGCCCGGCCTACCCCGGGCCGGGCCAAGCACGGCGACCTCCGGCGGCCCCAGAGGAAGCAAGAGCGGCGGGGAGCGCCCAAGGCAGCGGGTCCCCGTGCTAGCCGTACCTGCCCCCGCACGGCTGGCCACGCCGGGCCGGGCGCACAAGGCAGCCCCGGCCCCTCCCGCCGCTTCCCCGTTACTACAACAACCGACGGGCGGCGGCCCCGCCCCGGCGCGCAGCCGCCCCCGCCGCCTCACTGCGCAGGCGCACTCGACTCCACCCCCTGCCGGCGCTCCCCCCTACTCCCGCGAGGTGGGCGGGGACGAGGCGGGCACGCCTCCCGCGCGGCGAAGGATCCGATTGGCGGGAGGCGGTCTTACGTGCCGTGGCGCGCGCGTGGAGCGGCGCTCAGCGACCAATCGGAGCGGTGGGCGGTGGCGCGGGCGGGAGCGCCGCCGGTAACGGGCGGCGACTCGGCCTGGGCCCGGCGGGCGCGCTTCGAGCCGGCCGGGAGGATGAGCCGGTTCCTGAACGTGCTGCGCAGCTGGCTGGTGATGGTGTCGGTCATCGCCGCCGGGAATACCCTGCAGAGCTTCCGCGATCACGGCTTCCTCTCAGAGAAGCTGTACACCGCCAGCCCCGGCCTCGGTAAGGGCCGCGCCGGCCGCCCTGGCGCCTGGAGGTCTCCTTCCAGCCGTGGGCCTTGGACTGTCCTCGGGCTCCCACCTCCGGGGCCCGGGAGCTGCCTACTGCCCCGGCGTGCCCCTCCACGGCGAGACGGGCGGTGGCAGGCAGGGCCGCGCGTGGTCTCCATGTGCTCCCTCCTTCTTTACGCAGTGAATGGGCTCCAGGCTCGGACCTTCGGCGTCTGGACCTTGTTGTCATCAGTGATCCGCTGCCTCTGCGCAATCGACATCCGTAACAAGACGTATGTAAAGCAGCACCCGAGAAATCCATTGGTTTGCTTGCTAGACACGGCCTGAGCTTAGGGGGCGGCACAGAGGAGGTGGGGAATCAAAAGCTGTTCCTGTCTATGGTGTTGACAGCATTCCCTTGAAGAAGCTCAAATAGCAGTGTGGGGTTTGTGCGGTAGCTGCTGCCCCCTTCTTCCTCTCTGGGGACAGCCTGCGCGTTGGAGTTCTGTTCTTAGCTCAGTCAGAAACTGGTAGTTCTGAGAACCTCTTACTGTCACCAATCTCTGAGCTCCAGCTTGGAAAGCTTTTTCTGAATGGCATTGCTGCTCTGTTAATTAAGCAGTTGCTAATGCTGTGGTGTGACTGGTGGTCAATACTTCTTTTACTATGACAGCTCAGCTAAAGACTGGGATGGTTTTAGGTGTCCCATTGCAGTGCTCTTAATCAGTTGTTTTCTTTCCTACACTCTTACCTGGGGCTGAAAACAAGGCCTGAGGGGCAGCCTGATGCTGAGTGGGAGACACACCATTTCTCCCTGTGCTAACAGAAGTGTTCTGAGAGGGGTTTCCAAGCAAGCTGACTTGAGGTCTGTGCTAGACAAAGCCTTTATTGGAGGTTGCTAAAATGTTTTTGTCAGTGCTTCCCTCTGCCCCGCAGCAGAAGTCACTGTTCACCTGGCAGTATGTGCTTGGATTGCCTAGGCTTATCTGAGGTAGGGAGGTGCAGGGACTAAACAGTATGCTTTTAGAGGGTGGTGGCAATGCCAGTTATCAATAATCAGTTGTTTCTTTGAGGAATTTTATCTTGCGTCTCTTGAAACTGCTCCCTTTTCAACGGCTGTGGCCCATAGAGGGTAGCAGAGCACAGGTGGGAAGACACTGGGTGACACAGCCTGAAGTCAGCCAAGTCCTGTCACCCTAGTTCTCTGCTCATCCAGTTCTCACCTTCTTTTTGTGTATGCACACACTTCTCATTTCACTGGTGCCCTACTCATGCTCTCGTCTCTTCACCTTCCTTCAGGCCAGATAATGCCTGTGATTTTCAATGCACCATTGAACATGCCGCTCCATTCTCCTCTCAGCTGTTGACCAGGGGGATTTTGCACCTCCCTAGGCAAGGGACAAAGTCCCCTCTGTGCTGCCAGTAAGAGCAGATGGGGCAGCATTCAGGTTTGCCTTTTTTCCCACTCAGCCATATTCATGCCCATAGTATAATATAACCTGCTTTTTTCTGCTCTTCAACAGCCTCTATCACATCACACTCTTTACCTTCTTTTTGGCCCTTGCTCACTTCCTCTCTGAAGTCTTCGTATACCACACTGCAGCCTTGACAATTGGAGTTATGGCACCCCTCATGGTGGCAAGTAAGTAGAGCTCTGCATCCTCCCCCTGCATACTCTCCTTGGAGCTATGAGAGCCCAGAAAAACTCCCCGTGCAGCTATGGGCTGAGGGGATGGCAGGAGGGGATGCCCCATCTCTTGTCCCACGTATTCTACACAACTCATCCTCTATCTCTATCGCAGGTTTCTCTATTATGGGGATGTTGATTGGACTGCAGTACCTGGAGGTAGAAGCACTATCACAAAACAAGAAGAAAAACTGAAGTTGAAGGCTTTTTGTGGGTCGGTGTCATCTTCTACCTTCACTGCCAGAATTCCACAAAAGCTCAGCTGACCCTCTCTAGGACACCAGTCCCGCTGGTGAGTGATGTTGGACTCTGTCAATCAGTGTCATTACCCAGTTGTTTTTGTCTTGTCCAGGCAACGTTTCAACTGACTGATGTCAAAGACCAAGTCCCAGAGGAGTTTGTGTCAAAGCTTATGGGAGGCAGTTGGTGACTGACTCCCAGGGTAGCAGGCAAAGCCTCTGGCAGATCCAGAGCACTAAGGCCTTGTCTCCCAATGTACCTGTGGGGACAAGGTGCAGAACTGTCCAGGATGTGCTGAACACTTTGGAAGAGAAAGAGAGAACGGGTGCTACCCCTGGCATTGCTGTATATCTTGCATGTGTGTGTTCCCCAGGGGCCATTTCTAATAAATGACAAAAAACTGCAGTGGGCTATGTTTGTCTTTCTCCTACACAGCAGAGGGTAGAAGAACAGAGCCAACAGCACCTTCCACTGTATGTTGCAGAATACATCATTTCTCTTTACAGCAAACCTACCTTTCCCCGAGTCCTTGCCACAGAGTTCCGGGTCTGACTGCTCACATAACAAACATGAAGAGGGTTGTTGATGCTCTCTTTCTGCAGCATGCTGGTGACAGCACACTCAAACTATGAATCTGTGAGTGAGGACTGAGCTTCCTGTGTGGCAAGTTATAGCTACAGAAGATGGAGAAAACAGGGAACAGGTTCCTTAGACCTAGAGAAAATAAAGCCCAAAACAGTGGGCAGCACACAGAATGCAGAAAAAAACCAGCACGAACTCCTAGCTGGGAAGACAATTCACATGCAGAAGAAAGAGGAAACAAAGGGAGGAAAAGAAGACAGCAGTAGTACTGGGCAAAAAAATGATTCTTCCATTCTGCAGAACATTTAATGAGCCACATGAAGACTGTTTCCAATCATTTAATATGAATACGTCACGTTTCATTGTACACTTCAAATGTTTATATTTTACATTAAAATTTCTATTGAAAATCATTCTAAACCTCCATCCTCAATCCCAAACTAGCAAAGATAGGACTTCAATCATAGAATATGCTGAATTGAAAGGAATTTATCAGGATCACAGTCCAACTCCTGGCCCTGTGCAGGACCCCTAAGAATCACACCATGTGCCTGAGAATGTTGTCTAAGCACTTACTGAACTCAGGCTATCTCAAAATGTAGTGTATCAAAAATAATTAAAATTTCACCAAAAAAAATGTCTTGTCAAAAATAGTTTGTCAGAGAGGAATATTTTTAACCATTCTACCTCAGTACAGCTTTTGTTCCCTGCCTCAAATAATACCTAACTAACAGCATGATTTAAGGAATATTAGGACATTTGATGTCTCCAGCAGGGGTGGGATGCTGGAAAGGATGGAGAAGTGATAAAAGGATCTAGAGTTGTGTTTAGAAGATATACAGCATACAGATGGGCAGTGTCTGTAAGACATAAATGCTGGTAAGTTGGCACCTTCTCCTGTTCCCTATTATGAAGTGGGAAGCTTCCACATTGGAGCAAAGCTGGATTCCCATCATACCCCTCTCTGTGGCTGTGAAGAGCAACACAGCCTTGGCTGGTTTTCTCAATATAACACCACAAAAGTTTGTATGTCATGTTGAAATATGCAAAAGGCACTTTATTGTTAAGGAGGAAGACACGGTCCTCAGCCCAGGGAAACAGTGGTTTGACTTCTGTTGCTAATGTAGTGATGAGCTAGATTTAAGTTGCAGAACTAGTCCTTGCCTCGAGCTAGAAGGAGGTATACTGGTGTCTCTTAATTACTCCTAATATGTCAGAACCTCAGGGCAACCCCAGTGAATTCTGAGTAAAAGTTTATCCAGATTAAGAGTGCTTCATCTGGGAGAGCCAAATAATACAAGAAGAGCTGGCAGCAGCTGGTGCACTGCTTTGCACTTTGCTAGTAATATACTGAGGCCTCTACTACTACCTGTGCAACACAGAGCATCATGGGAACCAAGACAGAGCAATCCCTTTTCCCTAGAGCCAGCTCTTCCAGCCAGCTTCAGAGTTAAGTGTGGTCCAGCTTCTGCCTTTCACATCACAGCCACATGCAAGGTGCCACCATCATGCTCAGGGTTAGCCTGGTACTGTGGCTTTTCTCTCAGCACATGTGCTTTTTCCAATCATACATGGTGGGACTGGGGGGACACAGCAGATTTTCCAACATTTTCTCCCAAACACCAAAACAGCATGATGCAAGGATAAAACTGACAAAAGCAACTCCCCCCTCTTGTTTTGCTCTTTCACACTCTCCACAAGCAGTTCACAGTTCCTGTCCTGAGGCTGCTCCCCTCCCATGGCATGCATGTAACAGGAGCATGGTGCAGGTAGAAAAGATGGGAATGAGGGGGGCTGTATCTCCCAGCTTTGCCACCCCTTCATTTCACAGCCGTGATTCCTCAAGGACTATGGGATTAGTGTAGGCTTCTGGCAACACTTTCTGCAAGTCAGAGAAAAACAACATGGTCAGGATCCTGGCTAGCCAGACCCAGGCTTGAGACATCAGCTGACCACAGCCTGGGTAGTTCATAGCTCCCTACTACTGCAGAAATCCCCAAAGAAGAATCACCATCCTCAGAGAGTGCTGCTGGTTCCCTCTTCCTTCTCTTGCCACTTTGACTGCCCAAGCAAGGGGCACTGGGGCAGCAGGGCAGTGCAATGTCTGACTGTTTAAGCTACTTGCTGTAGTCCTCAGACCACTACTAATTCTCTGTGGTGTTGATACCACTGGAAGTATCAGACCCAGAGCCAGCTCACCAACAACATTTCACTGTTACACAAGCTCAGCTTCAAAGCATGAAGGTGCAGGGCCAGTTCCCTGGGCAAGGGAAAGTGCTGGGAACTCCTTCATGCCATGAGGCAGCACAGTGTCTGTGCAAACACCAGAGAGAACTTGCGTTCTTTACACCCTCAGGCTCAGCACAACCACTAGTTCCCCTGTGTTCTTACTCCAGCATGTTTGAGGACTCTTGAACTCCCAGACACATTGCTTATCTTGCTCATCTTCCAAGTCTTTTCATCCCCACCCCCACTGCCCATTGAAGTGCCAGCACCCTCTGTCCTGCTTCTTCCCTTTCCCGAGCTTGGATTTATGGCTGAGGTAATTCCACAGAGCGGTGCCTTCTTCAAAGTTCACTACTCATATCTTAAAGAGATGTAAGAAATAAGAAGCAAACATACAAAAGTTTTTTTCTCCATAAATCCTGTAGAAGAACTAGCCTGATTTCTTGAAACCTTAAGGTGAAGGGAGTTTTTCCAGAGGAAAAGCAAGGAAAATGGGGACTGCTGCCCAATTACCACCCTATCCTCACCTTCATGGAACAATCAAATTCTAGTAATTCTAGTTCAGCTTCCCTGGGTGGAGTTTGACAAGCTCAGCTTCTGAGCCTTTCTGGGGTGTGTTAGGATTAAACTTGAGACTTCTTCCCCTAGTGGATTTCTGATACCTCTCAAGTTCTAATTCTGCTTACAGTGAGACAGTCCAGCTATCACCAATTCAGAAGACAGCACACAGACTTTTAAGAGTTAATGTGGAGTCTCCTGCAGCCTGGGCTCTAAGTTTACTCACTGTAAGGCAAGACTGACATCTGAGGCAGAAATCAGAGGTGCACAGGAAAGAGGTTCACATCCCCAGCACAGTTCAAGAGAAATCCAGGCAGCATGGAAGCAAGAGATATGAAACAGTCTCATTTTGAGTAGGCTCTTACACAATCTGTAGGTGAAAAGGTTTTACAGAAGTCAGCAGCAATATCCCAAAGCAGAGGAGTGAGATAAGGAAACCTTCAAAGACATATCTGAAAGCAAAAGCCAGGAAGTGCAAAAGAGGGAACTTCAACAAGCAGAAAGGGTAGGGGGGGGTGCATGAAAGTAGGAATAAGGGGAAATCTGCATTTAGACTTCAGAAACTCCACCACAATGCACCATGGAAGCACTCAAGCAACTCAGAACAGGCTCCCCAAGCACTTCTGGGGTCTCAGCACCAGTCATTTGCTGTGGAGCTACAGGAGCAGAGATTTAGATCAGACAGTCTGCAGGGCTCCATCACCTTGGGAAAGGAAAGCTGCTCTCAGAACTGTGAGTCACAGTACTGGAAAAGGGCATAGAGATGGCCTGCGTATGGCTTAGGGACAGGAGAAGGCTGCTTGCCACACAGTAAACAGAGAAATGGAGCAGGGAAGTTTGGGAAGCAGAGAATGGGTACACATTGTTTGTGCCTACTACACAAAATTCCAGCATTTTTTTACTGGCAAAATTTCACTAGAGGCTAAGCATAGTGCAGCTTCCAATAGAATCCAGTAAGCTACTGAGGGTGGACACTTGTCCTAAACAAACTATGGAAGGTCAGTAAAGATGCTTTTTCTTAATGCAAAGAAACAAAGAGACACAAAGGTTTGCATGGATGCTGCAAATCACAAGCAGTACACAGCATATTCATGAGTACAATGTGTGTGCTGATTCAACTGACACTACTATGAAATCTTAAGGCACAACACTGGAATGGCTTCAGATGCATTTACAACAAAGGCAGCACACAAAGAGCCTCATTATCACTTAAACAGGCATTTAATCCAAGTGTCCTGAGATACAGAAAGCTGAGGCAGACAAAAGTGGAGAGGATTATTTGGACCACACTAACTACAGGTTAATTAATAGAGGACAAGGTGTACACAATGCCATTAGGCTCCTTTAATCTACTAACTGCAACATTTGTTTAACTGTAACCATAGCAGAGGAGGGCACCAATAGAAGACAAACTGCTACACAGCCAGTGGTACAGGGCTTCAATGGAAAGTGAGATCTGCACAACTCCACAGCTCTGTAGGCACTGGAAGCTCACAACTGACTCTAAGTCTTCTCCTTGCAACAACCACAGAATTGTTTAGGCTGGAAAAGATCCTTAAGATCACAGAGTCCAACCATTTACCCAGCACTGCCAAGTCCACCACTAAACTGTGTCCCTAAAAACCATGTCTACGTGTCTTATAAATACCTCCAGGGATGGTGACTCTAATGTTTCCCTAAGCAGCCTGTTCCAATGCTTGACAACCTTTTTGATGAAGAAATTTTCCTAATACCCAATGTAAATCTCCCATGATGTAACTTGAGGTTTGTTTCTTCTTGTCCTGTTGCAGACTGACCCCCAGCTCACTATGATCTCCTTTCAGGTTGTTGTAGAGAGCAAAAAGCTCTTGAGCCTCCTTTTCTCCAAGCTAAACAACCCCAGCTCCTTCAGGTGCTCCTCATAGGACTTGTGCTCCAGACCCTACACCAGCTCCCTTGCCCTTCTCTGGATATGCCCCAGCACTTCAATGTCCCTCTTGTAGTGAGAGGCCCAAAATTGGACACAGGACTTGAGGTGCAGGCTCACCAAGTACAGGTGGACAAACCTTCCCCCAGTCCTGCTGGCCACACTATTTCTGACATAAGCCAAGATGCCACTGGCCCTCTTGGCTACCTGGGCACACACTGGCTCATGTTCAGTGGCTGCTGACCAGCACCCCCAGGTCTTTTTCCAATGGGCAACTTTTCAGCTGCTCTTTTCCAAGCCTGTAGCACTACCTGAGGTTGTTGTGACCCAGCTGCAGGACCCAGCATTCACCTTATTGAACCTCATAAAATTATCACAGCCTATCCAGGTCCCTCTGCAGAGCCTTCCCACCCCCCAGCAGTACTCCTGCCCAACTTAGTGTTTGGTCTGCAAACTGACTAAGGGTGGACTTGATCCCCTCATGCTGTTCAACAAACACATTAAAACAGGACTGTCCCCAGTACTGAGCCTTGGGGCACTGGTGACCTGATGCCAGCTGGATGTAACTCCATTTACCAACATTTTCCCTGCCCATGGGACTCTTCCTCATACTTCCATCAAAGTACTGCAGCTTCATGGTCCCTGTAGAACATGCCCTAATCTCAGCAGGGTTAAGGTTGGTTTTCCCAATGGACTCGCTCTGCTTTTGCCTGTTAGTCCTGTTGGCTGTGGCACTAAATGATACACACAGTCCATCACACCTTGAAAAGCAAAGAGTAGCATGGATAACTTAGCAGACCAGCCTGTCAGTGTGACACAGAGAACAGTGAGTAGTAAAGCATACCACGCCAAGCAACAGCTGAGAAAACGCAAAGTACCACTGAGATTCACAGATCAACAAGCACAGAGCTTTACAATTTTCAGGTATTCTTACGCCACAAGGCACCAACCCAATGACTCTGTTCTTACTACATTTTTTTAAATTTCCTTCTTGAAGTTGGCCATGCACCGTGGCTGTGATCAAAACCAATTCTTTAGAGGGCTCCTGGTATCACCTCCAGCCAAGAGTTTGGACTGTAAAAATAATGACAGAGAAGTGGCTCCAAATGTTGCACCTCCTTTCCCTAACAAATGACTGACAGTTCAGTTCTTAATCTGCTCCAGCACCAGGCTTTGCTTTGCTGCATCTAGCTGAATCCCTACATCTCTGTCTGATATGAGTCTGGGGGATGTCCACTCTGTTCTTGGAAGCTGTCTTGTCTTTCCTCTCAGCTGAGCACCTGAGAAGACCAGAAAGATTCTTGATACTCTACAGCCATTGCAATCACCCCAGAAATGCCATTGGCTTCATGCCTGTGCCACCCTGTGAGCGTTCAGAGAAGTAGATTAGTGCAATTCTCCTACCTTGGTGTGTTTAAGCTAGTGAGCAGGAGTGGCAATTGATGGGGTTAGATTTACATGCTACAGTCCCATAATCCATGATCTGACTGCTGCCTTGGAGTCTCTGTAATGACAGTCACAAGTCAGAAAATATGGAGGTAAGTAGGAAAAGAAATTAAAGTGGAGGAAAATAAGAAAGGGAAACAGGCAATGGAAGAAACCAGTAAAATCACCCAAGCATGTGTAAGGCAGCTGTGCCACATAGAAAAGCCCCAGTACCTGACTTTGTCAGAGCTCTCCACAAAGGCAGCATACAATGCCCAAGCCCAGCTGGCTGATCCCCTGGCCGAGGCATCCATCTTAATGCAGAATACCAGATTCAGTCTACCATCAGTCAGTTGAGCACCTGCAGCTGGTTGTTAAGTTTGAGAATACTCAGGTGAGCTCAGTCATGTGGAGAACACATTTGGGGGTGTGGTGGGGTGTACAACATGGCTTCCTCCGAGCACGTCTCCTCAGGGGGAAGGAGCTGCCAGTGAAATTTTTGACTGACTGAGACCCTTTATCTCAGACACATCCCTTTGGTTCTTACTAGTGTCAGTTCTGGAGACTTTCAGGGTTATAAAAATGACATTGCACCACCTCTGCTCTGGTCGCAGTGCTCTTCCCCATGCAGCAGCAAGCTCTTACAATAGTATTTAGTCTGAAAAGGATTTATACTAAACAGGGCTTAGGCAAAAAACGCACAATTCATCTGATGAGAGAAGTGTCTGACAAAGGGAAAGGATCAACTACTAGAAGGCATCACCTTCACTGCCAAAGGACCTCAGGCCCTTTCCTGGGCCTTCCACGTCCATGTTATGAATTCAGCTCACATTGCCACTGGCATTGAAGAAGGGCAGCACTGTCTTCTGAATAGAGCTAACTCAAGACAGCAGAGAACTGAGATTTTCATACTTTGCTAGTGATGGCTGCTGATGGTCACCTGCACATTGAGTGGATATCTCTGCTAACATCCTAGATGAGGAGCCCAGGGTAATACAGAAAATAGCCTCAAGCAACCGGTCCCCTCCCTTTCCCTGCAGGGAGAGCTTCTGACAGTATCCACTGCAATTAGTTCACCCACGTGCAAAAAAGTACATTTATTGCACAGCATGCCACAGGGATATCATACCCCAAGCTCTGGTGTGCAAGCATGAGCTAGCAGCCTTGGCAGCAGCACTATGCAAAGTGTGAGCAGCCAGGTTGCTCAAGCCCTCACTTAGGCTTTGACACCTTAGCTTCCTCCAGTCACATACACTGAACCCCACCTGGCAGCTGAGGGCAAGGAGTAAGACGAATAGCCTGCCAGCCTAGGGGCCTAGAATAATAGTTACTCATCTCTAAAAAAAGACCAAAGCATTGAAGTCCTCAACACATTGTCAAGGGAGAGAAATGAGCACAGCACTGCCCTACATCTAGCCCTAGCTGGTATGAAGATGTGTGAAGCCCTGCAGAACCCCAGAGGACCAGAGCCTACAGATTCTGCATGACATTAACGCTGAGCAAACAGAGGCTCCAGCAGCTGGCAGAGCTAGGATTACATCCAGTTTGAAAATACCAACAAGGAGCTTCCCCACAAGCCACTCCCCTTCCTAGAAAGGAGAGAGGTTGGGTGTTGTCCTGAGCTAACAGCAGAGGCACAGCAGGGACTGAAAGGGGGTTTACTCACTGTCTGTTCATTTTCCAAATTGGCCTGTTGTCTTCGGAGATCAGCCTTAATGAATGCTGGAACACAGGAATGAAGAGAGATGTGAAGGCAGTCAAGTCACCATGCAGGGCCCAAGTAAATTTCCCCAGGACTCAAAGGTGCAGCAGAAGCCCCAGAAGAGACAGAAACAAATTACAATGAGCAAGATAAACCACCCTCCTGGACAAGGCTGGAACACTTCTGAAACAGGCAGGATAGAGATTCTTTATTGCAGCATGTAGAAGGTGCAACTTTGAGACCCCAGACAGAGCCAGGGAAAAAAGCCTTGGCTCTTCTTTGTAAGACAGACCAGATATTTAAAGAGGAACAGCATTGCTGTGGGACTGCTGTGTGGGTTCTGCCCTTTCCTGCATGCACTGTGAAGCACAGAGAGACAACTCTTCAACTAATTAAGTTGAAAAGAAGGTACATTATCACAGTGCTGGACACGTGCAGAATCATTTCCAAAGGCATGTGCAAAAAAGTCACAAGTTCCTGCTCTCTATTTATCCAAAAAGGTTTTACATACTCAAATGGTTTCCAGGACAGTTTCTATGATGCTTATTACATAAATATTAGCTCTTGCCTGGTATTATAATTAGCTGAATATCCATTACAGCTGCACAACTGTCCTCTGCAATCGGGTCACTGGGCTTCTGGGGAGGAAGTAAGACATCTTCCTCATGGTAAACTCTTCACCTGTGTCTAGTTGGCAGGGCTCCTTGACTTGCTGGTCACAGTCCAAACCTCCTCTCATTCTTAGAACCCAGTGGTATTTATGGCTCCTGCACTCTTACAATACTTCATATATTACCTGTCATTCCCAACCTTGTTTCAGTTATCCCCACCTGGTATCAATTAGTTTCCTTGTTAAGTTCTAATCACAGCATATGATCTTTTCTACCTACATTTCTAACTTAACCCCTTGACTCAACTGCACACAAAAGCCTTCAATGAATGTGCCAAGCCCAAGGCAAAGTCAGAGCAGAAGAACACTGAAAATTTTAATTACCTGTCATAATAGTCCCCAGGAACAGGACAGAACAAAGCAAGAGGTTTCCTCCCTTTGTCCCAAAGTGATCTATGATTTGCCCTTGGCTAATGGTGAAGGCAATACCAAAAATCTACAAACAAACAAAGGTAATGTCAAGCTGTACTGCTATCATAAAGCAGCCCAAAGTCTTTCCAATCTTTACCAAAGTATTAGAGCATACAGGCCAGTTAAACAGTTGGCCTAGACAGGTTAAAGTTTGATTATAAACACATCCAGAGGTACCTCCTTGCAGCTAATGCAATGACAGATGACCCTCATGGGTGGAATCTCATCTCTCGCTGGAAATGAACCAAGACTGTTAAGAGCTATGTTGGAAAAGGCAAGGATGACTGGCACCCTGAAGTATTTTCTTAAACAGAATGAGTGCCACTACAGAAATGCCATGAGGAACATCATTCAAAAAGCCAGGTCCCGGGGTGCTTAGGTCTGCAGTACATTACACCAATAATGGACAAGAAATAGGACTCAAGGCTTGGAACTACAATTTAATCTCTTTGCCTAAAAAGAGAAAAGCAAAAGGAAAACAGCACACCTACCTGTGCTGAGACATTAAGAAGCCCTGATGATGTTCCTTCTGATTCTGGGTATGTCAACTCCGCAGCAAACTCAAAGCCCAGGGGAAGGTATCCTGTCATGAAAAACCTGTAATGAAGTACACAAAAAGGAAGACTCAGCAACTGCCAGAAGGAAGACTGAAGAGGTACAGTACAGACCATAACTCTAAGCAGCATCACCCCCAGTATAGTCAAACAGCCATGCCAGTGCTTTTCACTCTTGTCCACTAATCATCTATGGGGCTGCAGGTACCACTTGCTTTCCAAAACCTTCCACTTACCTGGAACAATTAAGCTGAGCAGGGTCACGACAATGTCCCAGACTCTAATGAAACACATACAAGCGAGAGATGGGAAGGCCAGGAGTCATTCAGATGCTATGGCTCTTCCCAGTCCCTTCCACAGCAGGAGTTCTGCCTTCCTGCTTATCCCCTCCCATCACAAGCCAAGGAAAGCAGCCTGCACATGAACTTACCCCAGCAACCCAGCAGTCACAAAGACCACCCAGAGGTGGCCCAGGCTCAGAGTGAAGGTATAGACTATCATTCCCACCAGAGACATGACATAGACAACTAGTGTTGTTTGCCTGCAAGAAAAAGCAAACAGGATTTTATTTAATCTAGTCCTCCTTTTTGCCCACAGATCTTAGTATAGCTTGTAGCACATGGGTAAAAAAAAAAGCATTTAAAAGTTGCACAGTCTTTTGGCACTCATACCCAGACAGACGAACTAGACTGACAGACAGCATGGAAAGGCCTACACACAAAGCAGCACAGCAGAAGAAAGAACTTACCACAGGTTGACAGTTGCCTGGTCATATATGGTACATGGCACTTGAGGGGGAGAACAAGAGCCAGTTAAGGAGATCATTAATCTTTCTTGGGCATCCTCTGCACTATTGTGAGTTGAATATACTTAATTAAAAGCAGGAGCCAAGGAGATCAAGCACTCTCAAGCAGGAACGTAAAGGAAAGAGGTGTAAACACTGCTAGAGTCTTATGGGCCTATATTTTTCAGTGCTGTCTGAAACAGCTTTCATTGCTGCTCCTTTCTGTTGTTTAAACCACCTGCTGTATTTGGAGAGGTGACATGCAAGCCAGGTTGCCCTCACTGCCTCACCCTCAAGCCATGAGAGCATTTAGCAGGTGCTAGTTCCACAGCCAACAGCAGCTGAATCACAAGCTCTTGTCTGGCTGCAGAGAAGACAAAGACACCCTGTGCTCAGGAAGTATGGCAGTCAGATCCTGGGAAGAGCCACACCTGCAGCCAGGCTGTACAAGGATCATCAGGGCACTCAGTACTGCGAGACACAGGCAGCAGCCCAGGCCAGCTTTTACCGCAACATTTAGCAATTTTCATCCTTGACTGCACACCAAGAAAACTCTATCCCCATTTAAAAAAAACAAGGCTCTTTCTAGTACAAGAGGCAGCAGTAGGTCTTGCCAGTACATAGTTTTGAGGAGCAAAAGGAGGGAAAGGAGGAAAAGGTAAATACTTTACCGGACTGAAATTCCACCAGGATTTTGAAAGCAGAACAGTTACTAGAGTTGATAAAACCTTTTGATCATTGTCTTCTAGGAAGAAGTTACATGTATTACCACAAGCTACTTGTGTACTTTCTCCCAAATTTAAGTCTTAATCCATTAAAGAATGTGTTTGATATCAGTTCCTAGAACTCCACTGAAGAAACTAAATCTCAAACTATTTTCCTTTTTAATAGAAATGCTCACTGTCAAAAATCTAACCCAAGTAGGCAGTAAGTATTACAATGTGTAAGAAAATGTTTCCAGTACAATGAATTACTACAGATAAATCCAGTCTGTTCCAGCCAAGGTTCTGTCCTCCCTCACTGCTGCAATGACTGCAGTCAGTGGGGCTCATGCCCATATGTCAATTCTTACACAAATATAGGCCTGAGAAGCAAATTTCAGGCTTCAGCTATTGATCCATACTTACAAAGGTCACCAGGCTCATTTAATATAATGAAAGGCTAAACAACATGCTGTGGCGAGCATGTTGTGTATTTTGTTTTGTAATTTTGTTGTGTATCAAAGGAGTAGTTAAATCCCTTAACCTCCAATGCTGTATCATTTCTAAAGTATGTTCTTTCTCAAGTTTTCACTGAAGGAAAAATTCAGCTGTGAAGGTAGCCTAAAGGGACTGTTTACTTCTGTTATAATCCATTGCAGAGAGCTGCTACATGGTTGGCACAATGCCTGGAGGCTGCAGAAGGAGAAGAGCTGAAAGACTGACTGAACAGACAAAGAGCAATCTCAGAGAGTGAAAGAGATGCAAGTAAAAGCCTTTTTCTGCTCAATACAGGTTCCTCAGGTATGTCCCATGAGTTCTTATGCCTCCCATGCCTAGACAAGCAGCCATGGAGAAAAGAGATAATTAGGAAAGGAGTTCAAAGCTAGAATTACAGTTCTGTACTTGGGCTACATGAACCAAGTTTGAACTGGGTGCTCCTTCCATAAACAGGAGCCTCCAAACTACATAGCAGTTTGTGCTAAAATACTGCGCAGGCCTCCAAGAGGTGGCTGCAGCCCTTGGTTGGAAGTTCAGTCACTGCCAGCAGGGACACTCAGCCCATGGTGAATTTTGTAATTTTTTTCTCACCACAGCCAGTTTGGGCTCAGTGCAGAGGTCTCGGATAGTCACAAAATCTCACTCAGCTTTGTAGGCTTATGGTTCAAGTATTCTAAGGTATTTGTATCTTATTCAGTGTCATGACAGTTGCCAAGTGTTGCACTTCACCCTTCATCTCCAGGCAAAGGTGAAGAATGAGACAGTGACCAGATGTGGTGAAGACTTTGTTTCACATCGATGCTATGTCATTAGTCAAACTGCCAGAGAGGAGTTCAGTTCCCAGAACGTGCTGTGCCTGACAGAGAGCTAGAGCAGGCAGACTCATAGCTGCAGGTGAACCCTTAAAGGTGTTCTTCACTGAAACTGCAGAACTGTGTAGAGGACAAAATGGAAAAAACTGATCCTGCCATGGGTACCTCATCTGCAAGTTTTCCTCACTGACCTCCCTGAATCATTAGGCTGCAGAAGGACAAAATAAGTCAACAGACCTTCGTGAAAGAACAAGGCCACAGGCTTGAGTGTTGTGGGAAACACAGACCAGGAAGCACCCTGAAGCCATGAACTGCTGCCTGCTCACCACAGACCCTCACAGGATCTGAACAGAGAGCAGCAAATGCAAATCTTGCTGCAGGAAACAGCATTAAGCACACAAGAAGACTTCTCCTAAACCAGACTTCAGCAAAACCCTGCTCCCCCGAGCATACCACTGATGACAAGAAAAGGAGATTTAGTGCTCAGCGGTCCAGAAAAGACACAAAATTTTGAAGAGGGTTTAACTGAGATACTGGTGCATAGGGAAACAAAATCCCCTGGGGAAAGACACAGATGCAGAGTGCTCTCAGGAAGTGGCCTTTGACACCCTGTTCACCAGAGAACAAGAATGCTCTGTGGCCCTAGGGGCACTGGGGCATGGAAAAATGCCCAGCTTTAGCTTAATAAGCCTCTTATCATAGCCATAAATCTCATGGGAGTGAGAAAGGCACAAAGGAGGAGAAGCAGATTCACAGAGCACATCAGCACTGCATTCTGGTGTTTTTAGCAACCTACTCCCATGATGGCTCTACAGGGACTGACAATTTTCATTGTCTGGAACAGGGAACAGAGACTGTCTACTTAACAGACTGGTTAGTGCAGTGAGTACAGGCTAGAAGTTAGGCCTCCTGCCACATTACCTTAGAAAAACCCAACCCTGCGCTCTGGGGTGTGGAAAGGAAGCATTGCTATGAAGGCACCAGTGCCAAGTCTTTGTGGCAGATCCAGAGGGAGATCTGTGAAGGACCTGACACACTTGTCACTTACATGAACCTTACCAGCCCTGACATTCATCTGCCTTCCCAGTCATTCCCAAACCTTCTGAAGAGGCAGATAAAGAGCCCACACAAGGGACTGTGAGAAAAAAGAGATCATGGGGAAAAAAGGCCAGACAAGGCCAGCACCAGCTGAGAACAGGGCTGAAATGAAGAACACATCTCCTGCTGTTCAGTCAGCTCCAGAAGAAGCCTCAGAGTAAGGAACGGGTATGGCCCAAGCCAGCCTTGTCTCACAAGGTCACTCGGATGAGGAAAGCAAAAGTGACACAACGAGACTCAGAGGGGATTGCAGCTGCAAAAACACTGAAGTCAAACAACATCTGAGGCAACAAATGAACAAGCTGGGAGCAGGAGGTGGGATGAGGGGCACAGGCACATACAACAGTTTTAGCTGCTCACAGGGATGTTGTGTGCAGCTCCAGCACGCTCTGCTGTACAGACATGGATGACAGATGGCCTCCATAGGCTTTGCCATGAAGACAGCACATTCCAGGCTGCACACAAGCCCGAACAAAGCCCTTGATCCTATGCTCCCAGAAGATCTCATTGATGAAGACACAGAGGTGTCAGATGCTGGAGAAAGGGATGAATTGGAGAAGACTGCTTTGGTTTTCACCACGCCCTTATCCTTAGGTGTTCAGTTTTATGCCACTTTCTTCCTGTATGAAGGTCAGAAGAAAGGACAGTCTTGGTAAATTATTTATATAAGGCATATGGCAGGACAGGGTGAAGACATATCCACTACACAAGGACCAAAACAGGCTCAAATTGCAGGTCAGGCTAGGCTGAGAGAGCACTCACCTTCTTGCTTGGAAGAAAGCCAAGTGCCCCATCCTCCACCATCTTTTCTCCCTCCCCCAAATTTTTATATCTTGCATGTGCATAGACCTAAAACACCACTTGGGGTCTTCTGCCTAGTCAATGGAGAGAGAGATGGATATTTCTGATATCTTGCCTTATAGAGATGCAGCAATGAAAGCAGAGAATGCTGACTGCAACCAGTTTGACCTGAGGCCATGTGAACACTGCACTTTAAAGAAAAGCATAACCAAAGAGAAGTGCTGATTAATTCAGTCCCCAAACACCTCATTCTGAGCCAGACTACCCTACCAACACCAATGCACCCAGCAGTCTCCAGGTGTCACTTCATCTGTCCTCTGAGCCAGGAACTTGATGTCAAAACTATAAGGGTCTTCTCCTGATTCTATGATTCAGAGAGATGGGCTGTACTGAACAAGCCATACCACCAAAGACAACCCCAATTCTTGTACTGCTCACTCATCACTATATAACCCAGGTGTTGCTCAGTTTTCTTGAGCTCTTCTAAGCTTTCTGATGTTTACATTATTGTAACGAATTTTTTCATGGACTTTATGTAAATAATTAATTGTTTTGTATTCTTTTCTGGAAGAGGAGAAATTTGATGGACTGTTGGTTTGTCCAGTGTCATTGGAGAGGTGGCACTTTCACCCTCCAATCCACTGTCACTTTTAAAAATCAATAAATGTTGGAGTCAGAATTAAACTTCCCTCTTTCTCACCTTGAAGAATACAGTATCTCCATCTTTCTATTTTGTGTCCTAGAGTAATACCCATGTATTTATTTTAATGGACCAAATTTTCACCTGCTATTCCAAAAACAAGAACAGTGCAGGGACTGCCGCAGGGACTTGCCTGCCAAATAAAAGCAAGAGTGCAAGGCCATTTGGTGCCCGAGCATGACAGATGGGGAAAGCCTGACTTAGCACAGCCTCACCCTTTCAAGGAACTGCTGATGGTACAGTAAAGACCAAACATGCATGTAGAGCTCTGCAATTCTTTCTGTTATTAACCTTCCCCTGCTCCCCGCAATCACAGCTGGATCCCATTCATTTGCTTCCCTCTCTTTACAAGCTGACTAAAAAAAGGACTTAATATCTTTCCTTCCTGATTTTCATGTGCTTACCATTTTATTCTTGACACTATCTCAGCAACAGAGGGAAGGGGGAGGGTACCCACCTAGAACATCTGGCATCTTGACAGTTTTTTTAAATAGACTTTTAAATGGGGCTAAATAAAGACTATGTAGCACTCAGGGAAAAAAAAAAGTGCTAGTTTCACAGAAATCCATTTTGTAGGCTGTAAGGGAGAACAAATTCTTAGCAGGGTTTTTCCTTACCTAAGGCTAAAACTATCCCCCAATAGTCCGTGGGGGTCTGTAGAATAAACTCCATGGATGACATAGTCCTATTTTTCTGCACTGTTAGCCAGCTCTGCCTACCTATGCAATCCCTCCAAGGAAGGAGCAGACATGGAACAAATACAGCATTTGTGGATTTTTCTCTCTGTCGTTCTCCCAGATTTCAAGTCCCAGCTCTGCATGATAAGTCACAAGGCTCTTCAAGCCTTCATGCTGCAACCTAACCTCACTTATCAAACCAGGAAGACCATCCAGTCTAGCAGTGCCAGTTGAGGCTACCTTACCACTAGCCCTGGGCTGGAAAGAGACACAAGTCACATTGCATGGTTAGCAGTGCAGTTCCAACAGTTGTATTTCTATTTCCCAGGACTCCCATATGAGTACTACTCAGTGCCACACAACCATCTAGACACAGCAACAAACAACCTGCCAGTCTCAGGAGTCCTCACCTACTGCTCTTTCTGATTAGAGAAGCCAGTTTTCTATTTCTGATCCCTGTACTTTACAGGGAGCTAGTGCCAGAGGCCACTTCAGCTAGCCAGATTAATCTAATTTGTCTACAATGGGAATGTGCATTTCTAGCCCAAGATATGAGGTAGGATAATGGCAGTAGGACTCCCCCAGATGAAAAGCTGCTGCAAGGAATAAAACACTGAAATTGCTTTCAAGTCATTACCAGCACATCACCAGTAAAGCCCCCTCTCACCTAACCTGCTCAGACAACAGGTTGTAGCACAGTTCTCAAAGCCAGCAGAGAAACCAAAGAGTTGGGTGGACCCCAGTATAAGACACAAGAGTCTCTCTGTATCACCTGGGATATCCTACAGAGGTGCTTCAGTGAGATCCAAATTTATGAGGACTGGGAACTGTAGAGCAAGCAAAGACACTTAACTGTCCCTTTGCAGGTGGCAAGTCATGCTGGCCAGATCTGCCTTCCCAACTCGCTGGGCAACACACACAAAATCATCCACCCATAACCCAAATAACCCTTGTGCCTGCCCTAAATACAGCAACACGCCACCAACACAATGCCTCTGGGCACTGGATTCAATGTGTCTTTCATTAAGCTGGACAAAAATATACAGAGGCTGGTTTGTAAGGGCTGACAAATGGTCTGGTACAGTCTTGATTCTGCTTGTGCCAAGAACTCTCTCATCCCTGACAAAGCAGTTACTGGGCCATCTCATCTTCTCTGTAAGCCTCCCTAGGGAACACCAATACCAGATTTTGTATGGGCCCAGTGCTGGCTAATGCACAGCTCCAAACTTCAAAACCCAGTTAGTGTAAAGTGAAGAACTCTTATTTTTTTTTTCCTACAAATCCTCCCAATGATTCAGTCTCTAGAGTGCCAACATGCAACTGCACAAGGCTCCTCCTTGCACAGTATGGAGGAAGAGCACAGTCACTAGGGCACAGGGGCAAACAAGGGACTTACTTGTACATTTTGGTTTTGTCCAACCAGATGCCGGAGATCAGAGCCCCAGCCATCCCCGAGAGTATAATGGTGAGTCCAATCCTGCCAGCATTCACCTCCTCCCCCTGTGGTGAGACACATACACACTCACACAAGTGCAGGAGCTAACTTATATCCAACAAAAAGCAAAGTGCAGAAAACCCAGAGAGGAAGAGACACCAAAGTTAGTCTTCACACATGCTTTCTGATGGTAACACAATAACCAGAACTAGCCTTTGCAGGAACACTTTTGGGCCCACTATGAGCCAGTGCTTTCTGGGCCATGAAAAAAAAGTGGTCTGGCAATTATGTCTGAGCCAGCCCTGAGAAAAACTGTGTGCACTGGCCAGCGTGAGCAGATACTCTCAGAGGGGTTAGCATAAACTATGAAGCTTGCCGTTAGGATTTGGGCCAGATTGACCAGGAAATATTGGGACTCACTATAAGGCAGACCAGAAAGAAGCTCTGTGGCATGCAGCACCAGCAGTAAGTTGTACAATAGCTCAAGTACAGAGGCACCCCACCCTTCTGCCACCCATGGCATGCCCGTGAGCATGGGCAGCCTCCTGCGACAGATGTCCCAGCAGAAATCACAGTCAGAAACAAGGAGTGGAAATTGCTGGAAGATTTTCTCAGAAGTAAATGCTTTCATTTAAGGTGCAAAGGAGGCGCCTTTCCTAGAGCTCGCCAGTTTTTGCATGAGGTGGTGTAAAGGCAAAAAGGAACAGCCAACTCGTGTTGGACAACAGCAAGTATCAGAGAGGGCCATGAGGGTTGGATGCACTTACTGGGTAGTGATGGATCACCATGCGGTTCAGCAGAGTGGACAAGGCGTAGAAACAACCTACATTCAGACCTGAGAAGGGGATAAAAATGCAGCACATTCAGAGCCTGCTACTCTCCTGCTGGGTTGTGAAATGGTAGAAATACAGAGAGAGAAATCTTTGGGACCATCAGTCCACAACAAGGCTGCAGAGTCTCAGGAGAGTGAGCCAGACTGGCTAGACTGAAAGGATACTGAAAGAAATGCAGACCAACATCCAGGCCTCAGCATGCAGAAGTAAGAACCCTGCAGTTTCAGGATGGTTCCTACCTAAGCAGCTGGAGGAAGGGCTGTGCACATTTCTGGTACTGAAAGGTCTTGCAACTCCTTCACGGAGTCTCAACCCTCTGAGCAACCCTGTGAGCAGTCAGATTCATCTTTTAGCACTGCAGTTTTGTCCTCTGCTCCCAGCCAAGTCAGAAAACTAGAAAAGCATCTGCCTCAGCATCATACCTTGAACAAGGACCTGAGATTCAATTAACAACAGTGTCATTGACCTGTGTGTTTTCCTCCCAGAGAAGAGCCTGTCAGCATTCTCCCTGCTGACAGCCAGTAAATAACACTCTCTCCAAGCCAAGAAATGCCAGGAGACAAGTAGGAGCAGAGCTGATTGGTGAAGCACAGACAGCACTACCCTTAGGCACCTGGGGTGTGTGTCTGCATGGGAAAAGCCTTGCATTTTAAAAGCTATCACTGAGGCCTGAAAAAAACCTGTGAAAGTAATTGTGTTTCTGAAAGAGAACTTACATTAACTGTTACAAGGATCAACCACCTGGTGAAGGTTTCTCAGTATCACCCAAGGTGAGAATGAAACTGTTGGGGTGATACTGGTCAAGCCCTATTCAGACACTCTGCTGCATCTTACATGCAATTCTCGTTGGTTAAATGCCTTCTCAAAAGGGCAGAAAACCCAACAGCTTTGTTCAGCAGGGAAGAACATACACATGTGCACTGGACCAGCAGTACTGCAACAGCTACACTCTCACCTTGGGTGATACTGAGAAACCTTCCCCAGGTTGATGAGGTCTGTAACAGTCAGTACAACTTTCTTCTCAGAAAGTCATTTACATTTGCAGTTGGTTTCTCTTCAAGGCTTCAGTGATTCTGATGGGTGGAGGGAAGGGGACAGACTTTACCACTGCAGCCCACACGTCTATAGGCTCCAAAAGGAGCCATGGTTTTAAAAAGTCTGGCACAGATGCCTGAAATCCTGACAAAACAGATACATGTCAAGTTCCCCCTTCCTACTTTTCCTCTCTAAGCCTCAGCTAAAAGCAGAAACTAACAACTCAGGATACAGAAGTGCAGTCTAGCAGGCAGAGCTTTGACAGAGGGAACAAAGCCCTGAGCTCTCCTAACCCTGAAGTCCCCTATCTCCCCTTAATACTCAGCAATCCTGCACCTAGCCCAGTCTTCCACTGAGCACTGAATACCTGTTGCAGTACACAGCACTATGAGGAGCCACAAGACTGGCAGCTGGAGGGTGCATCACACTTCCTTCACACACCATCTCTGACAACATTACCATTTACTGTGAGGGTGGTGAGGCACTGGAACAGGCTGCCCAAAGACATTAATGGAAGTGTTTAAGGCCAGGCTGGACTGGACTCTGACTGACCAGGTCTAGGGGAAGGTGTCCTTGCACATGGCACGGGGGTTAGAAATAGATGATCTTTAAGAGCCCTCCTAATGATTCTAAACCATTCTATGATTAAGCAAAGCTCACTCCACAGCTATATGGCACAGACAACAGATGAAGACTCTTATGCAAGTGATCCCAAATACTGCCTGTGACAATGTTTCCCACTTCAAAATCCTCTGTCAGAAGGTTACAGGAGAGGCTAGCAAGTTCAGTGACATGCTCATTAGGCAGGAGAATAGACCCAATCCTTACCAAGAATTACTCAGGAAGACTGGAAACTCGAGCAGGGGCAGCAGCCAAAGATGGGGGAGAACAACTGGAGATCTCACAGCAAGGAGGCGCCCTCCAGCCTTAAAAGTATCTCTTTGCAACACCTGGCTAAGGCAAAACAGCTAACACACCCTAAATCAGTTTCATCCTATCTCCACCTCTGGAGCACCCCGCCCACTAGGTGACACCACAAGGTGCAGTTCAAGGACACGGGAGTATGGCAGATCAGCACAGTCCTGCTTCTTCACCTCAAAGCTGGGCATAAACATTAACCACTCATTTGTGCACCTCTATTTCTCACCCAGCCAAGAGGACAGCAGCCTTGTGAAGTCAGCCAGATGCTTCTCTGGTAACTAACACTGTCAGTAAACCAACTTTACAGCATCTCTGTGATCCTTGTGGTTTCCAAGACAGGGAAGGGCCCCTGATCCCAAGCTGCACAGAAGGTAAGAGTTGGCAGCAACACTTGGCACCAGAGTCAGGTAAAACATTCTAAGAATCAAGACAATGTGTCAAATTTGCATATGTGAGGGCTGAGAAAAGTTGTAGGCATTTCATATGTCACAGTTACTCAGCTGAGAAGCTTCTCTGAGAATTACAGCTGTTTGAATGACCATAAAACAGGTAATGGTTGTTTCCAACAGGAAAGTGGCCATTTGCCCACCCAGATAAGGGAAACCAGAACTAGTAACTGGGAGCAGGACATCTGAAGGTCCAGCACCACCTAATTCTTTAGCTAGTTACCATGGTTTGCTTGTAACGTAGAGTGATGTTTTTGATACCCCAGTGTCTCCTCTATTTTATAGAGGCCAGAACACAGAAGTTCATTGCCTACAGCTCCAAACAGAGTCCTTATTAAGCCTCAGACTAGAACCCAGGTCTCCCACAGGTAGGCAACCTATTACCTACATGCCAGAGTCTCTCTCTTGTTCTCCCTTGTAATCCTCCCCAACAACGGTTCCTTATGCAGCTCTCACTGCCCTGCCTCCTCCTCACTGCCCCGTCACCATTCCAAATGCTGATTTTTTAAGACTGTCTCATGACTCCCATTCTATAACCCCTTCCCAGAGTTTCCCACCCTTTTCCTGCCTACTGCCTCCCACTAGCAACATGCTCTCCCACGAAAAGCCCAGCCCCATAGACTTGGAATTCCTTAATGCCCATTCCATGTTATGCCTCCGTTTTATGGAAGCAGTGTCAGCAGCCTTGGGGAAAAGGTTTTCTGAGGGCTTTCCTGAAAAACAGTTCACGAGCACCTGACACAGCAGCAGTGACACCACTGTTTCCAGCACTGCAAGTCTTGCCACAAGAAAGGAATCATTGGCTGCTGGTAATACCAAGACCTTAGAGGTCTGCAGATGTGTTCTGACCTGTCATTGTGGAAGGATCCTCATTCTTTCTACAGCCAGGAGAGATGAAGCAGCAGGTTTGCCCCTCTCTCCCCTGATACATGCTATGCTAACAAAAAAGCCGACAGGCTGCAGAAATCTTTGTGTTAGGTAGGCAGGATGACTCAGTTGCACTCATGTGGCTGCAGATGTCTTAAATCTCGGCCAACGTAACTTTTGACTTGAGTAGGAAAAACAGACACGATTTTAAACCCAGACAAGCTAAAAAAAAAAAAAGTTTCACAGCATAGTTCCCTCTCTGAGTAACAGTCACCATCTCAAGTCAAGCTGGAGATTGGCATGAGGCTGACACAGAGAGGAACAGAAAAAATGCACAGACCAGCAGCAAGAGAAAATTAATTATGAGCCACTGAACAGATTTTCCACACTTTTTGTGACTGCCAGAAAAGAATTATCCCAGGAAGGTCAGATTCTAAACATGCTCTTTGTACTGAGAGCCCTCCTCTCTCCTCTAGGACTTGTTTATGCCTATTAGAGCAAATGCTTTCCCCTTTCTTTTTCCTGAAGGGTAAGTGTGAACTGAGCAGATGACACAATCCAACTTTAGACACAGTCTGCCCGACAGATTTTTCTGTCTTCACTTTCTGAGAGGGTATTATGTACTATGAGAAAAAAAAAAAAAAAAAGCCAAACCCAGCAGCTGCAATGTAATCCAGGAGACTTTAAGAGCAATCTGAGAGAGGCATTTCTAGAAATCTACTGCACTGAGAAGGAAGAGAGCAGAGGTTACAACTCCAAAGACCATTAGCATCCTCTGCAAGTACAAAGTCACCATCTGACTCTCTCCAACCTGCCTACTCATCCACAAAGTCTTTCAAGTACAATTGCTGGCAGAATGTGCAGAACTTTCAGCAATATTTAACTGTCCCCCTGAGAAGTTTCCATAGCAAGCTGGTAGGAAGACTGAGGACAAAACTACCCACAGACTAACTGGCTACAGTATAACCTATTATGCAGCCAGGCATAGACCACAATGGCCTTTCTGCTAGTAAGAAAAACACTTTTCCATATGCCAATTCAGCATCAGGGAATAGATTCAACACATCACACTGCCCTCAAACAAACAGACTGAGAATGCTGAAGAGAAGCAAACAGCAAATTCAGCAGGCAAGGACAGATGACACAAGATATTCTCCAGTCCTTCCTTCCAATTGCTTCACAGGGACCGCCTAGAAAGCTGACAGTCTGCACATCTGCATACTCCATATGACCTCTACAGAGATGCCTCGCAGTCATGTTCAAATCCTTGCCTTTGGAAATGACTTTCACTCAGTCCTATGACTCGCACTCAGACACTCCACGTATTTCTTATGTAAGCACTTAGACTGGTTTGCTGCAATTAGCTAAATTACTAGGAAAAAAAAAAAAAAACAGATAAGGAAATCCCCTGAACAGCAAACAGTCAAAGACAAGGAGAACAGTTGTAAGGACATATCGTCTTCTGTGTGCTTGCCTTCCTTTTGTTCTTCCCTGTTGCATTCACTGGTAACTACTGCTGAAGAGTACTGGGCTATAAGGATTCTTGGTCTGTGGCAGCACAGGGAACTATCTTTATGTTCCCCTAAAACAACTCAAGCCAGTTACTGCCCTTGCAGAGCACAGAGAGAAGGGAAGAAGCTGTGATTAACTGCACAAGAAGAAAGGAGGCCAGACCTTACCATAAGTGACCATAAGCAGCAAAAAGTTGGCATTGCGGAGCAGGCGGAGGATTGATTGCACATAGGAATACTCCACAGCTGGTCTTGACTGGATCAAGGCCTGAGCTCGGCTTGGAGGGTTCGGGGGCTTCGCTTTGAAGACTGAAACCAGACACAAAGTACACCTGTTTATAATGGTGCAGCTGAGGGGCCTGAGCACACACTGTACCATTTGAGGGATGCCAGAGGGCTGTGAGAAGCAAGTGGACAAAACACACCATTTTCCTTAAGCTTTGATCTCTATGCATTAACATATCCACGAAGAGGAAAGAACAGCTCTCTTCCAGCAGTAACTCCTGTCACCTTCCCAAGGGAAACATCTTGCCTTCAATGAGATTTTTGTGTAGGCAGTGTCCAGCAGCACCAAAGAGTTCTCAGGACTATTATCAGCCTTTGTTTCTAGAAGGATGACCATCCAGGCGCAAAAGTGTTATGTGGATTTACAAATGACAAAGTGGAACTGGACAAGTGAGTTGACAAAGATGGCCTAGTGTTCTGCAGTGGCCAGTGCCCAGGGAACAATAACCTTTGCCAGGTTTTATTTCAGGCCAAGCCATCTGCTGCCCCTTACTATCATGAAAGTAGCAGCCAGAAATCCTAGTCACAGGCAGTACTGCTGTGCTAGGTGCTAGACAGGCATTTTTGTACTTTGTCTGTTCCCTGACCCACACTATTTGAGGTCTACATCTGATTCAGCCATCAGCAACATGAACAAACTGGCAAGAGAAGCCTATCAAAAAAATTGCATGGAATTCAGCAACTAAACTCAGCTCTCCAGTGAGCATGCCAATCTTTCATGCTAAAGATCTGGCTTCAACTTCATGTGTTAAGCAGTGGAATTGCACCTCTTGTGTCCTGCTACTGTCCTTCATGCTTTTTCATCTCCACTCATAACTGGGAACAGCTTGTTCCTGTGATGCCATATAATCTGCCTCTTTCTACTCTTAAGGGGTAGGCAGGTCCCAGACATAACCCAAGGCCCAGCACCCTGTTTGTAGGGAAGATGACTACGAAAGATTTCTGTTAGTTTTTAAAGGACTTACTCATGTCTGGAATTTGTTATGCAAGCAATGGACAAAACTAACAATTTGGCAGGCTTGCTGACAACCTCCCTTTTACATGTGCTATTCATCACGGGTTTGAAGCAGCAAGATATAGTATTGCATGAGCCTGTCAGCTGCATGGTAGGACACCTCCCCAGATGGCCTGCCCAGCCCATCTCCTGGCACACAGGCCCCTGTCACACATTGGCTGATCTCAGTCCCCTCTGGTTTCACCTGCACACTCCCACCTCCTTACCTATGATGACCAGGATGAACAGGGCTGATGCCACACCTGCAGTCATGAAGAACATGATGCTGATGTGGTAGGCCAGCTTCTCCACATCCTCCACATTAGGGATCAGAACTGGAGGGACCAGAAAGCCTGCAGCGATGCCAAGCTGAGGAGAGAGAGGGGATAAACAGAGGCATGGCATGAAACCACAACAGTGCCACTACCCTACAGCTCAGTACAGGCTCAACTGACCCTAATCCAATTTCACAACCAAGATGAAAATCTTCTTTACCACCCAACAATTAGAAGTCAGATATCCATTTCAATTAGGCCATAAGAGATGTTTCCCCACTGCCATTAAAAATGTCAGGATATTCAAGGCAAGGTTTTACAACACAACTGAGCAGAATGAATACCTGGCTTCATCAAAGTGGAGGTCTTGCCTGCACTGACATCCCCCACAAACATGTTCCTGTTCACACACACATCCCATTCCTTACCTTGCCCCTGCTCTAGAGCTAGCCTGACCACCTGGTAATCCAATTTTGCTCATTAAAAATAGCAGAAAATAAGACCATCAAAACCAACCACAATATTTGCTGTGTTAATGAATTGAACCAATTTATTTTCCAACCACATAAGTGCAAGGGCAGAGACACCTGACCACTCTGCATAACGGAGATATTAATCTGGATCAGCCAACTTTGATACAGTTTCAAATGAGCAGCCTCCCAAGACAAGGCTCACCATACAACCACCAGGAGAACCTACAAGAGCATCAAGGCTGAAAGCAAAGAAAGTGTTGATGGCACATATCCTAGATGTCAAGGTTGTTTTAGTAATGGAGCTTGGCAACTGTCCCTGGAAAAACTGCTTTGGAATGTACAGAAAGCAAGGACTAAGGAAGACAAGTTCTGTGCAGCCCATAAACCTCACGGAAGCATGTCAGCACAGAGCAGGAGACCCAAGAGCCCTGTAATCCAGGCATGATCTTGGACAACCTTTCCAGGCTGTCTTCTACCAAAACCTCCTGGTGCTTTCTGCATGCTTTCTCTGACATGTCTCTGTGTTTCTGGAATGCTGATAGACTCATTCTGGAAGACTGACTTACTGGCCAAGACAAATATCTCAGAACAAATATATTTCAGTTGCCATATCTCGTAGTTAGGCTAAAAATCAGCTTGCGCCTCCCAGCCCCAGAAAATTCTCCACAAAATCCCTATTCCTCCATCCAGCTGGCGTATTTTTCAGATAGGAAGAATGCTTAGGATTCAAACAGAGCTATCTGCTGCCCTCAGGCATCATACTTAGCTTACAAACAAGTGACTTCCAACCATGTCTGGCCAAACTTCTCCTGTGTCAAACAGTACCCTCCACTGGGACCTGGAATATCCTGGGTCAGGATCAGCAACGGATATCTACACTAAATGCATTCTCTCAGACATTGCAGGGAGCTAGTGAGAAGAGCTACTGAGAGATTTCAAATGTGCCCCACCAGTTCAAGGCACTGTCAAGAATAAGAACATTTGAGGTTTGGTTACATAGACTGAAGACAAACTCAAGATGTGCCATCCCAGATAGCAAGTCAAGGACTGAAAGAGTTTAGGAGGAAACTTAAAAGATCACTAGGAAGGATAAAACCTTCCTAACACCACACGGCACAGACAGACTCTGACACAGGACTAAACTTGCCAGAGCTCAGTTTTGTTCAGATATGGCCCATACCCAGCCTCTCATCACACCAACTCAGACTGACTCTCCTCCTCTGCACTGCCCCCTAAGTGTCCACTGCCCAGTGAGCACAACTATGATGGTTTAGAGGCTTCAAGCTCTAATCTCCATAAATTGCACGCCTCCCCTTCCCTACACAAGCATGCAGCTGCACAGAAAAGGTAATGGCATCCAACACAGAAGCTTACAGAGATGGCTGGTAGAGGGCAGAAGCCTGCTGGTCTCTGCAGCACATTTATTTTGCTCTCCTTGTGGCCAAGTGCAAGCCTGTACCTCTGGTGTGCCTGGACAGCCCAGGATACAGCTAGTCTGGGCTTCGCTCCTATCTCCAGACCATTTCTAAAGATTTAACCTTTGAAGAAGAGACTCTCAATATTGCTCCTTTCCATTTGAGGGAAGAGTCCTATTGAGTCTCATGTATCAGGTTTTCCATGTGCCCCCCACCCTTTCCCAAGTAAGGTTTACAAACACCTTACTGGAAACTGACCTTTTGTTTTACCACTGTTTTCTTCTTGGAAGAACTAAGCTGGATTCCTGTGCTAGGTACTTCTTGGCTTCCTTCTCTCTGCAATCACATGCTAACCACATGAGCTGCTGCACAGCAGCAAACCAACAGGAGAGGAGAGACCCACACTTTATTCTGACCTCTGACACAAGTTTCTCCAGGACCACAGTTGAGATTCAATCTTTTCCAATCTCTCTCAGCTGATCAGTCCTGAAAAAGGATCCATCTGATATATCTAGCAGAGAAGGTATTGAGAGTCTGTGCTGCAAATTGTTTAGAAATCTTTTTCTGGGAGGTCCTACAGTCATCACTTACCCAATGGGTCACAGACTCACCCAGCTTTCCTGAACTACTTGCTGGCCTTTTCAGAAGGATTTTCCTGAACAACTTTTCTAACCATAAAGAGATATGTGTTTTCTCTTCTCCTCCCCCAAAACAAAGCAACTTTTATCCATTAGAAGTTCATTATATCTTTCATAAGAACCAGGCAGCAGAATGGACAAAAAAAATCACAGCAATAGGAGCTACATTTTATATTTCAGAGCGACTCATGCTATTAATTCTGTGAAGATAAGGCCCTTTGACTTGACTAAAACTGAAGATTTCCTGAACAACATTCACAGACCCTGGATTATTCCTACCATTTTTAGCTCATGATTACTCTTTAGAGACTAGTAAAGGATAGAAGGAATGTATTCCCTACCTGAATTTTGTGAAGGACCAGTCACAACAACATCATATTCAATATTCAAGTGTGCACAAGAACAGGCAACAAAACCATGAGCAAGTAGCTAAGAAAGTGGTATAAATTATAAAAGTCTTGCAATAGAAAACGACATGTCTAAGGTTAGCTGCTAAGAGTCTCCTGAAGGAAGATAACCAGTGGTGTATCAGCATAAAAACTGTAAATGAATCATCAATGGAGGAGTGCAGGAGTGGACCTCCGCCTCAAAGAAAACTACAAGTCAGCAACAGGAACACAGAAGCCCTGTAAAATTCCATAAGTAGGTATAAATGTTGACAGAGGGGACCACCAAATACAGAAGGTCAATTAAAGTGTCAAAAGACAGAGAAATGTTGCAAAAGCAAAAAACCACAACAGTTAGAAATTTTGACAATGCCCTTGCAAGCTAAATAAGTGTCATGACAGGGATGATGCAGAGACTGCATTTTTGGATTCCATAAATACCATTTTCTGAGAAAAACTTGTAAGAGGCAGCACAATTTGTGATTTCAACCCTGAACAGCAGAGCGTGACTATGATCAGTATTAAAGAATGGTTTTGTACTGGACTAAAATTCAGCTGCCTTGCAGCAGTGACAAAAAAAAAAAGAAACACCCTCCAAAACAGTACAGCAATACATAACTCACAAGAGGAAGGTGCCTAAAAGAAAAAAAGTGTGTTAAATGGAAATGAAGAAAAGACTAAGAAATTAAATGCCTTCAAGTGGCACTAGGATTGTGCAAAGACACTGAGTCAGAGGCTCACTGTAAGCCTAGAGAATATTAGTAAAATATTTTGGAATAAAGGAACCCCAATTTAGTAAAAAAAAAAAAAAAAAAGAAAAAACACAAAAAAACCCCCCAACAAACAAACAAACAAAAAACACCCCAAAAACACCAAAGAAAAAAACAAACCACCAACAAGAACATAAACCACTCAGTTCTAAAACTGGACATTATTCTTTCAAGCAAAGAAAAATGACAGCAAGCTGGACCAAGCTAAAGCAAAACCATAATTAGGCCAAAAGAGGCACCAGAAGAGCTTTACAAACTAAGTCAAAACTCTTCAAACACAAAAAAATCAGGAAACCTGACAGAAGAGTCAAAAGATGATCAGTGTGGAAGGAAAACATTCAAGAAAGAGGTCTTGAACCATCATTCATGACAGGATGTGTTATAAGTAGAAAATATTACTCAATTTTTTTTAAAGTAATTTCTTCTATGAGGCATCAGGACCAGCTGGTATTCATCTAGAAGTTCAAAAGAACAAGTCAACAGAAAATCCATACTACTTGCAGATAAGCATATCAAATGGTCTGTTAACAAATATTCAAATTGGGAATAGAGGAAGAGAAAAGTGATGCTACTTTTTAGGAGGTTCAGCATAAGCAGAAGTCCCAGGAAACCCTGAGACCAGCAACCAGCTGGTTTGGCCAAGTGGACAGAAAATGTAGCAATCAAAAGATCTACGCTTTGATAAACACCAATACAACAGGCTTTTCAGAAACCATTATTTCAATATGGTCTTAGCAAGTTCCCAAGCCAAGATGTTGAAGAGTGAGTGGGATACACTCCAGATTCCCTCTGGATTCACCCAGGGAAACTGCTTTGAGAAGATGCTTGTTCCAGAGCTCTGGGCAACACAGCATCCTCTTATACTCTTGTCTGGGTATCAAAGCTCTGTCCTAGGCCCTTCCTCCTTTTCCAACTACATGTGCCCCTCAAACTGTAACCATGACATTTCACCAGAGCAGCTGAACCTTCTGATCCTATAATTCATACATCAGGACCTGCAGAGAGCAGACAGCTGCCCCCTTCTCACACCCTGTGCCTCCCAACTGCACATTGGCTTCCCAATACTTTTCTGTCAGCATAGGTCCCAGCCACATAAAAGGCTACAGGAGAATTGAAAATGCCCAACTGAGGTGCTGTTTAAGCAGAAGCTGCCAGTTCTTACACAGTAAACTTTTCTATGAATCAGTGTCCAGAATGTGCTTCTTCTGTACCACTGACAGCAAAATTAGAAGAGGCTGTTGAAATCCAGATAGTCAGGAAGCCAATGTACATTTTTGCACAGTTTACATAACTTTCTTGCAGTGTGTTAAGAAAAAATAAGGAAGTACACAAGTTGTGGAAGGAAAAATTGCAATCAAGCCTTGTGATAAGACAGGGCTTAAGCTCAATTTACTTTCTCACTAATATGGGAGACACTTTGTTTCTCCAAACCCCACTTGCACAACCAAAACTCATCTGCAAACAAAGCAAACTCCCTTCCATGTCACACTTCTGCTTCTGTGGCATCATCTCATAATGCTTAATGTGGTGCAATGCTGTACCATGAAGACTGGTCACTGTGCAAGTCATTTGGGGCCTGCCAGCCTTGAAAGCACCTTCCCCCAGTCTGCTGGGAAAGAAACACAACACAGCAGAACAACAGCAGTAGACAGGAGAGAGAACAAAACAGAGGAGTTTCAGCTCTGACAGCTACCTCAGCTGCTACTGGAATCCTCAGTGGGGATATGCTTTGATCAAGGACCTACTCCAGTCAACTAATACAGACAATCCTGGATATCCTGCAGGGCAAGTGCTGAGGGTGCTTGCTGGCCCTCCCATCAGAAACACTGCAGACATTAACTTAAATTCCGCTGCAGAACTTAACCCAAAAGCCAATTTCTGTGAGAGAGAAAAGGGAACTGCCTTCGGTGTATGTCTGGGAAGGGAGCACCAGATGAAATGGGTAGAAAAAGTTCATTTCAGGCTCTCATGTCTATTTATAGAAATGGAGGCATTCCTGCAAAAAGCCACATTGCTATTTGGTCAGCACGCCCTCCCACACTGAGCCACGTCGAGGATCTTGGAGAGTTAGCCATACAGCACTCCTTGAGAACCAAGAGCTCTGATCCACCCTGCCCTTTTTTTGTCAGGAAGAGAAGGGAGACAGGGCTGGAGAATGTCATCCATTAACTACTATCACTACAAGCAACTATGCCAACATTAGCTACTGCCACTAAAATCTTCTCCATTCTGATAGCTAAAGCTCTGAGAGACACAGGGCCAAGCTAGAGGGCTGTGAGACAGATCACCACCTGTCCATTTTTCTAACAGGGAATCATTTGAAGGGATGGGAATCCTCCAGCAGAGACAGAGCAGGCAAAGCAGATCTATAAGTCCACTCAAAGACTGGAAGACAGGGACTCCACAGGACATGATACATTTCCAAAATGCTTCTTAAACTTTAAGATGCTGCCTTCCCTGAAGGGCATACGGTACAGAACAGAGTTCTAAGAGTTATCAGTGAGGCATCAAACAACGGCACATGCTCAGCACAAACAGCACTGTAGGATCACCAGCTCAAAAGCAATGGCTATTCAGATGTTGCAGACCCAATTATATGGCAAAAACCACCTCAGCCACTACCCCAGGCAGACTCTTTCCCCCAGTTCAAAACAGATGAAAGGAACCACCAGGAGTAAGAGAGAGAACATTTCCCTGAATTTCATTCACAGCTTATCACCAGGTTTGCACATTTCAAAAGCCATCATCTAATCACTTCAAGACTGGCACACCCAGCAAGCTGCAGAAACCACCTAAAACCTCTGCCTCCGGCTGTTTCTGTTATGGAAGCCCTAAATCTCTAAAGTCACACCTCAGCTACATCAGAACAGGGACAGATCCTAAGATCAGTAAGGTGCTGAATGATTTTTTCCCTAAAGCAGAGCTTAATATAAGGCTGAAGTTTTCTTTCTTTCTCCCAAATCACATCACTTTTTTTCAAGCCCTGCTTAAGAAAAAAAAAAGGCAAAATTACTGCAAAAAGATAATTTAACTGGCCCGCATCACAAGCCATCAGTGGCTTGTTTCTTTGTCAAAACATCCGACAGGCAAACTTTATTCTATACTTCCCCACACATGAGCATCCATAACAAGGAAAAAGAATGGAAAAACACCTATCTTCCTGTTAAAACATGGAAAAGTAATATGTCATGAAAACCAGCATGTAAACAAGAGAATGTGATCATGTCCACAGGTGTTCACACTGTTCTAGAAGCTCTCCAGCACTGATTCGAGTGCTCAATCTAACCTGTTTTTGCACTTCAGATACCATAGCCAACATATGGCTAGAAACAAGTGAAGTGATTCTAATACCTTACTAGGGACTGGTTTTTTGTTGTTTTTTTTTTTAAGGGCATTTAACACCTGGTCTGATTGATTCAATCATTTACTCTTCAGGGCTAACTTTGAACTTGAAGGTTACCATCAGTCAGCAAGCAGAGGCAGTGTCCTGAGCAAACATGGCCCTGGCAGACTGAGGAAATGAGCCAGCAGACAGGGCTTCCCTCAGGACAGCACTGCTGAAGTGCAGCCTGGGGCCAAGAAAGAAAGAGCAGAAAGAGGGCAGGTATGGCAAATAAAGAAGCAGTGACACTTCCCTGCTTCTTCATGCAGTTGCTTGCAATTCTTAATGGAGAGGGACAACAGTGCTTGGCATTCAATAATAATAATAATTAAACTAAGTAACATGGCAAGGAAAGGAAAACCATACAGTTGTAGAGAAACGAGCATAGGGAATAATTTACCATACTGCAATTACAAAACCACTGTACTATACCCTTTGCTAACACTCCCTAACACAGTCTTTTACTACAGTCAAGAAAAACATATGCCTCTATTTCTTCCCCCTGCCCAACCTCACCAGTAAACAAAATAGCTAGTTTTCATTCACTGGAATTATGCCTGACTGTGGGAATAAATAGGTCTTCCCTATGGAGTATGTCTTTAGTCACTACCATTTCTGACTTCTCTGATTCTCTAAAAGGAAAGTCTGAGCTTACAAAGCAAAGTCTATGTACTGAACTGAGGTCTCATTGTCATGTCAGTGCAACCGCCAGAGCAGCGTGGAGCACCAAAAGGGTAGCTAAAGTTTGCTTTTCATAACCATTACAGTAAACCACTCCTTTTGGGATGCTGATGACTCCACACAGCACAGGCAGACAGCCTCATTGTTTGGATTTCTAATGAACACTGTTGAGTAACTCCACCCGAATAATTTTTTTAAAGTCTGACAGCAAAATACTCAGTTACTTATTTGTTCATGCCAAGTTAGATGCCTTCCACTCTAAAGATTAATGTAAAAACACATGAAAACCAGCCCACTAGAAGGGATGATGAGAGCAAAAAGGAAAGCTTAGGTGCACTCAAGTAAAGATAAGTATGTTTTCTCTTTCCTAAAGATGTAAGGCAGTCCCCTTAATTCCCCAGTGCTGTTCTGCAAACTTCTGTTCCTCAAACACCATCTCCAAGCATTCACCTCGTTTAACCTCAGCAGTATCTAAATAAATACAGAAACACAGGAAGAAGCATTAGAAGCTACCTGAATTGGAAACTATTCAAATTAGAATGGCAGTCACTCACAGGCTGAACATGAGTGGAGCACAGAGTCCCACGCAGGGGAGTACACTGCACAGGCCCAGCAGCCAATGCCACGTTCCACTTTCCTCTTCCTTGGGTCAGGGCTGCAGAGACAGGCTCACTTCACTCACGCCTCATTGCATCAGTATTGGCTTATTCACTTCATTCAACTAAATGAGCAGGTGTTCCGGTCCAAGGGTCAAGAAGATATTTCCCTAATCCTTACAAAGCTGTGTGAAAAATTATCTCCTCTGGCTACAAATAAAGACACTCACAGCTTGAGCAAGTGTGGGTCACTGGCCTCAGACACCCGTATTGATAAAAGAGTGCTCGGGGACCTGACCTCACGCTAGCCTGATGGAACTTTTTCTCAAAGCAACTGCTTGTGTGTACCTACTCTTAAGAGGTATGAAAGTGCTAAAGTCCTTTTCCTCCAGAGCCCAATGACAATGCTTTCAGCAGACAGCTAATCTCCTTTGTCCCATCTAGTTGTCAGCAGGAAGAAGATATCGCAGTGTCAAGTCCAGATGCAACTGCAGATTTGAAAGACACTCTGCCTGAAGCAGTTTCTCAGCACTGTACCTTCCCCCCCAGGCCATTCATAATTCCACTGAATCACAGCCCTGGAGACTCACACACACAGGAAGTGGAGGGCACTGGAGAAGAGCCTCAGCCAAAGACCTCTCAATGCCAGAATCACACCTAACCCCCATGCTGCCCCGAACTTTGTAGATGGAGGTCCCTCCCATTTGCCTCTGCCACCACCATCAGCCCTCAGGCTAACAGCAGTGGCACCCTTCCAAATACCAGATGCATTTTCCAGAAGGAATTTCATCTAAGTTCGTGTTATCCCTGTGGCTGCCCTTCAGGCCCTGCGCATCTCTTACCCCTCCCTGGTTTGCTCCCTCAGCACTTCCAGTGTCCGGCCGGGCAGGTAACAGCCCGCCCCACAAGCACAGCCAGCCGGGGTGCAGCTGCCCATTACCTGGTTCCCAAAGACAGCAATGGAGCAGGCGGTGGAGACCTCCTGGGAGCCAAACCAGACGGAGGCGATGCGTGAGGGCATGCCCAGGATGAAGACCTGGGCCAGGCCACAGATGACCTGTCCCAGGACAGTGATGGGGAAGAGGTGCGGCTTCAGGCTGCCCAGCTTCACCCAGGCACCCATGGCATTGAGGGCCGAGCCAGCCAGGGCGATGAGGCGCAGGCCCCTCTTGTCCAGCAGCCAGGCGACAGGGAAGAGCAGGGGGATGTAGATGAGCATGTAGCTCATGGAAAGCCAGTCGATGGCGAAGGCGCTCACGCCGTAGAAGCGCACGAAGATGTTGCTGATGCTGCCGTACTGGATCCACTGGAAGGCGTTGCACAGGGAGTAGCTGCTGAAGAGCAGCAGCACGGCCCAGCGACGCCGGGACAGCTGTACCTCGGCAGCGGCATCACCGACCCCTGCCGCCGCAGTCGACAGACTCGGCGCCCCGGCGGGCTCCTGCAACACCATGCTGGCACCGGGGGCCGCAGCCGGCCCGGCTCGGTTCGGTTCGAGTTGGGTCGGGTCCCCGCCGGCACCACCTGCCCAAAACACCGCGCCTGACCGCCCCGCCGCGCTCACTGGCGGCCGCCACGCGGGGAGGGGCCCCCGGCCCGGCCCGGCCTGGCCCGGCCCGCCCTCCGCTCCGCCCCCGGCGAGGCCGGGGAGGGCTCGGGCCGCCCTGGGGGCACTTACGGGGCGGCCGGCCTGCCCTGAGTGCTGCCTTGCGCTGCCCGCCCCGCTGCCGAGGGGCCGCGACCCCCTCCCCACGGCCGCCCCCCGCCACTGCCCGGCCCCGCCGAGAGACCCCCGGCGTTACGAGGGCCGGGGCAGGAGAGGCTTCGGCCGCCAGTGAGGAGCGGGACGTGGCTGAGCAGAATTGTGACCTGGGAAGGCTGTGAGGTGTGGGCAATGCCCGACGCCGCCAGAGATGCCAGGGTGGAGTCCTGGAGGAGGAACCGGTTTGGGTTTCGTTTGGGTTGGCCTCTGATGGTTTTTCTCACAACATGGCGCACTAAAGAGTGAAAATATCCAGTGAAATCAAAATTAAAACATCTCGGCGTCGCTGAAGTAAAAGAGCCAAAAGTGGTGTTTGTTTCTATTCTCATGGGGAATTCGCAGTTAATGAGTCAGCGCTTGTTTTCCCATTACTGGAGCAACACGCCACTGGGAGATGCCTGCCTGGAGATCGTTTATGATCTACAGTTCATTTAATTAGCATCATATTACCTAAATTGCATAAACATTCCTCGGCACAAGGACGCAAATTTGCTGTTGTTCAGCTTTCTTCCAGCATTTAACACACAGGTCAAAATTCATTTGGAAAAATGGGAGTAGTGTCTTTTGGATGTTGTATTCCTGGAATAAAGGAATACAGAGTATGAAAAAGTGAAGTTTCTCTGGCTTGTATTTACTTGATAGCTGCATCATAACGTAGCCTTTTTACGTACTTGGTGGAGCACTGTCAGAGGTTATTGCTGCTGTCCTCTGAGTTATCCACCTACTGTCAGGAGCAAAGACAGACCATCAGCTTTGATGACTTTATGTTCTTATTTACCATGAAAGAAAACAAACAAACCCCCAAAACAAAAAAGCTTTGCACAAATTATTCCAAGGAGCACAAATGTCAGTTTAAGTCAGTCTTGCTGTGTGTCCTCATAAAACTTGTTTCTTGTCACCTGCTTGGGTTTCCCAGCGGTGGCCAGAAGCAGAGCTGGAGACGAGCAGAGCCAGTGCAGTCTTCCCCTTGTGCTCTGGTGGAAGTTCCACAGGGCAGAGCTGCAAGCCATGCTACTCTCTCCCTCTCAGCCCACAGCTTTGCCAATGAACCTGAGCTGGGATGCTTCTCACAATAGTACAACATAGTCATAATGTAGCCCTTTTACATAAGAAATAAGAGAGGCAAATTCAGAAGCAAAAGCCAGAAAAGAGGCTTTCAGTCCCATTTATTATTAAATTGGGCAACCAAAGTTAACTCGAAGCTATGCACCGAGACAACAGAACGAACGGAGGAATTTGGTGTAACAAGTTTGTAATCTAAATGTTATTAGGAATGCAATGAGTGATAGTGGTGGAGGTAGGGCAGAGGTGAAATGGAGCAGGAATAAGACTATTATGGTTCAACAACTGCTTAGTCTGAGAAGTCTAACAATAAAACAGTGAGATTGTACAGAAGATTAACTTCTAGGCTGATAAGATTTGAAAACATCTTTATAAAATTCTCCACAATATTATACAGAAATCAAAGTTACACAGAGGTAATCACTGTCGTTGATCAAAGAGCAGTTGAAAAACAAAGTCAGGAAAAGAAATGTACAGGCAGCTTTTAGGATGGCAATCTGGGCTTGTTCAGAGGACCATAATTTATTATCCCTTTAGCACTGTAGGGAGTAAAATTTGCAGATGGTTAAGACATTATTCAGTTAGTCAAGCCGAACTTAAATGTGTCACCTACATGTTGTATTAAGGTTGAAATTATTATAGGACTATAGCTGTCTGTAACTGAAATTATTATCACAGTCCATGGCAACTTAATTTGTAAACTCACATAAATGCAGGATAATGGAATTAGGTACTGTATGGCAGACTGCTGTTATAAGGTCTCTGGGCAGCAAAGAGGAAGATTTCAGTGACTGAATGTGGTTTTTAGAAAAAGAACAAGCAGAAAAAGTATAAAGAAAACAAATTCGGAATTGAGGAGATACTGTCACACACCAGGAAGACACAGAGAACAGTTAAATTTCTTAATACATGACTTAAAAAAGAACACACACACACAATAGACAAATTTTCAGATATATGGGAGATGACTGAGACACATGTTGGGTCCTTTGCCTCCTGCCAGCTCCACTCCAAGCTGGGGTCAAAAACAGTTTGTCATCTTGAGTTTTGTTTTTGTCCCACCTTCAGCTCCTAAATTTGTCTCAAAAATCCTTGGGTTTACTCAGTATCAACATAAGATCTGCAGGAAGTCAGAGCCTGCCAAGCAAGGAGCCATTTGCTCCCATGTCTTAGTCCTGTCAGAAAAGTCAAATGGTAAGTCAAGAATGACTAAAACACAGATTCTGCGGAAAGTAACAGCTGAAATCAGATGCATGAAAGCAGTGCCCAGCTTCTGGTGACTGCAGCCTGTCAAGTGAACATGAGCCAGGCAGAGAAGCAACACTGGCTCCTCAAAGCCAAGTCAGACAAGGGTTTTTCATACCTATAGGCCCACACTTCCCTAAACTCCTGTCCTTGGATTTCAGGGCTGTTTTGTTACTAACTCTGTGAACTACTCAATCACCCCTTTATATAATTTGCCAGTTTCTAATTATAAAATACTAAAATAAAACCCCTGTGCTTTGCATTTCCTCCTCTATTGCTGCATCTGTTTCTACTCACATGCCTCTTTCCCTTCTTGAAGCAACAGAGCAGCTGCTTTTGGATTTCCCTCATCACAGCATATTTATATAAAAATTTCTTAGCCATGAAAAATTATTTATATTTCAGGACAACCCCTTGAAGTGGATTTTAAAGCTAGAGGGAAATCTCCTTTACATGGAGATTAACAGAAGTGCTAAAAAGCTTATAGGATCCTAGAGCCAAAAGTACCTGTGAAGATTGGAATGCACTAAATCCGAGGAAGAAGCAGGACCCAAATTAAGTGTTAGAGTCCAGGCCATCAGGTGGAACTTAACCTCTGTAATCTTCCTGACTGATCTCAAGAAATCCAACACTGACAGTCTTGGAATATATGCTGCCTTTATGACCAGATAGTACATACAGTTCCTTTATGTTATGTAAAGCCTTGCAACAAGCTTGCTATTCTCAAAGTCCACCCAATAAATATAAATGCTAGGGATGGTGACAGCAATGATAATCCAGATGGCAACAGGCCTCAATGACAAGCAAGGTGATATGGATGGGTGAGGAAAATTGGCTTGGAGAGTGTGCAAAAGGTATTGTAGAAAATTATTCTGGAAAGTATAATTCCTTGGTGTTTTTTCTCTCCACACTGGTTCAGAGATCCAAGGAGTAGGTGAACAAAAGAAGAAAACTTCTAAGGAAAAGCAAGTACTCAAGGATCTGGCAGATCTCACATCCATGCAGTTCTTTAGGTTCCCTTTAAATGGGAGGTATCTAACCTCAAAGGATCACAGGATGTTCCTTGCTTTCAAACTCTCAGCCTTGTTATTTGTGCCTCTAAATTTCATAATTGTATTTACTAAGCCTAACTAGCTTACCTCTTAGGTGGCTCTATCACATTGTGACTGATAGCATTTAGGTCTAGAAAAACTGTCAGCAGACATCACACACAACTTTTCACAACAGACACAGCAGGGAAGACTACAAGATCCTTGTTAGTGGAGGGAGAAGGTTTTCTTTTGGGTTCAGCACCTAAACTGCTTTAGTGAAGTTTTTTGGAGGTTAGGTAGTTGTATCATAAGACCAAATGACAAGACTCGAATAGCTGGCAGGGCCACACATTTCGGGGTCACACCTGGATGCAGTGCTGAGCTGGAGACATATGGTGAAGCATGGGCTGCCAGGGCTGCTGCTCTGGACAAAGCCAGTGGTGTTCCCCGATGGAGCAGGGAGCCCTGCAAGCCCTCTGCTGGCACCGAGAGCTTTCTGCATCCCAAGAGCTTATAAAGGCAATGGATCAGTTTATTACTGTAGTTTAGATACACAGTTATTTTGATACCTTAAACCTTTGAGAATCTTTCCTGTTACATTTTCAGTGTGAAGATCTGGGTACATGAACAGTGATGGACAACTCCATCCATAACAGTGCAGCAGGCAACCTCTGCAGCACTCAAAATTTTGAAAAAATTACCTTCCTCTACACAAAACACAATGGCTTCGTTGCACAGTATAAAATCTCGTCTAAAGAAAACGGCAGACCTCAGAACAACCAAAGTTGTGCAGAGGCTAACTTTGAGCACCAAACCTGTACTGTCCAAATATGTATGCTTTTCAAAAGTACAATTCAGGGAAGTGAAATAATGTTTTTCTCTCCTTCAGCATATTTCGTGTGTAGCTCTCACTCTCTGGGAACTTTGGTGAGGATGCATCATCTGTGTCTGTTTTACAGGGCCACAAAGAGTTGTGGTGATTTGTGTGGCCCTGCCAGAGGCAGGATTTTTTTCCAGTTTGACACCTTCCAGCCTGGGCTGCAAGGTCTTGCCCAAGAGCAGCTTGAATTTATCACTTCTTTGCAAATCCAAACTCCCTGTTCAAAGCCTGGCTTTAACAGAACAATGGCTTTAATTTAACCCTGTCCAGTTCAGATGTGATGTTGGTGTGGATGAATCATGTGAGTCTGAACTGTGAAGAGTAGATGGGAGGGTATGGCTGAAGTGCTAATATTCACAGCTGCCTCCTTGCAGCAAGAAAAAGATGTAGAAGGAGTGCACAGGATGGAAAGGCACTTGGGCACAAGGTACCTCAAAGGTGCTGGCTTCTGGTTAGTGCACACCCCTCCAGGCACAGGGTGCTTATGCTATCTCTTCGTGGCCTTCTGCAAACATACCAACTTGCTCTGCCCCATCCTCTGATCAGGCTGGATGAGAACTGGCTC